ATATTATTATTATTATTAATATTATTATTATTATCATTATTATTATTATTATTATTAATATTATTAATATTATTATTATTATTATTAATATTAATATTATTATTATTATTATTATTATTATTACTGTTATTATATATTTCTTTTTAATATTCGATATTTCGCGGCGTTCAAAATTTTCCCACTATCTTCCATGATTATTCCTTTCCCGCGAAAAAAAAAACACGTTTCAAATTTTTGTACTGTCCTCTCTCCCTCGTCTAAAGTAATGATGTTAGGACCTTACGATTAAGTACGAACGAAAAAGAAAAAAAGAATACGGAAAAAAGAAAAATATATGAATTATTATGCAATGTAATGTCGTTAATTAAACAAACTATTGCAAATAGAATTCGGAACTATTATCGATCGACTTATCAGCTAACCATAATTGGTCTTTAAACGGTAATTATAATTATTATAATATTTGGTAACGTACGATAATGATGATAATTAGTATATCGTAAACGATATATCTGTTTGTGATGTAACACTCGATGACTTGCACTAAGTTCGGGTCAACATGAAATTTATTGACGAATGAATTCAAATAAAAGAAATATAATTGAAATTAAAAAAAACAATGCACAGACTGTTTATTGAATCTTTTTTTTGTTTTTTTAAGTTTTATATATATATATATATATCTCTGTACGACCAAAGAAACTACAAGTAGAAGAAAAAAATAGTATTAAAAAAAAAAAAAAAAAAAAAAAAAGGGAAGACACAAAAAGCACACAAAGTTTCAATATTTGTCTTTTTTTTTTTTTTTTTTTTTTTTTCTTTAGTCTTCTCAATTACGTTGCTTTATTTCTATTCAATTTACAGTCTCCCTTTTTTCATATATATATTTTTTTTTTTATTTTATTTTCAAATATATACGTAAATATTTTTATTTCCATCTTAATGTAATGTGCCTTTTGCTCTTTTAGTCGATCGAACTTGTGCCAAGTATGCTAAAACTGTACTACTTTTTTTTTTTTTTTTTTTTGTTTCTTTTCCTCTTTGAAGAATTACGAACGTTTCCGTAGTGCATACATGCCGCTTGCAAGAAACAAAATAGTCTTTGCATATCGTATAAGTGACCTTTTTTAATTCTGTTTTTTCATTATTATTAGAATCTCATTATTTCTTTTTTCTTTATATATATATATATATTTTTTAATTATTTCTCGTATCTTTTTGTACTTTTTTTCTTTTCGATCGCAATCGTGCCGTGAAAAACTAACGCCACAGGCTACTACTGATCGAGTAGAAAGGTTGCACACACAGGTCACGCTGAAAAATCCGATAACTCTGTTATTAACGACGAACGAAACCGAATCACGCCCAATTTCACTCTGTCTCTCTCTTTCTCTCTCTCTCTTTCTCTCTCTTTCTCTATTCTCTTTCTCTCTCTCAATTCGATCCCGTCTGGATGATCTCGAACCTCCTCGACCTCCAATCCCCTCTTATTTTACATCCATATGAAAAAAAAAAAAAAAAAAATAAAAGAAAAAAAAAGAGAAGATATACATATTCTCCCGGACGTTACATCATTGATGATCTTTTTCAAATTAATTGCCTGCTGCCTGTTTATATATATATATACATATATATCTATATATAATGTTATTAATATTCGATATGAACATATGTTTGGATTTTTCGCCTTACTTAGATTACATTAATTAATCACTAACCTTGATTGGCCCAAGTTTTTTTCATTTTATCGAAAGAAGAAAGATCATAGCTAAAAAGAAGGAAAAGAGAAAAAAAAAAAAAGAAAATTTTTTTCCAAAAGATTCGTGCAAGAAGCTTGACCAATCAGGGAGCCAAACCGCCGTAGAAAGCAGAAACGATGATTTATTTATTTATTTATATTCTAATCATACATAGTAGTGCAATGACAATAGAATGAATGGAAACGTAGTGATGTCCATTAATTTCCTTTATTTATTTGTCTGTTCTCATTTTTTTTTTTTTTTTTTCCTTTTAATTTTCTATTCATCTACTATTTGCATCGATGTTACACTTAACGAACCTTAACTTACCATACGCCACGCATACATTGTATCGAGCGATTTTACTTACGTAATATCGTATAACATGTCACAAATTCTGTTACTATACAATGTTACTCACGTGAGATTTATTTTCATAAAGGCCGGCACTTAATTATTAAGGTCCCTCTGTTTCTATTTCTCTTAATCTATCGGAATCGGTACCGATATTTCGTTCTATTTACGTAAGAGATGTGCAGGATCCTGAATTAACGGGAATTCGGCAAAATTCGGACGAGATCGGGCAAGATCGAATCACGTCTCGACATTCGTAACGCTCGAGATTCATTTCGCACGACAGTCGTAACTTCGACACGGCACTAATCGGACGCGATCGGTTCGAGGCACCAGCTATCGAGGCTTTCAGCCGAACGCGACCGATTATTGCCGAGTCAATCCGAAGTTCAATTCGTCCCGACGAGACGATCCCGCACACCTCGTAAATTTACGTTCTATTATCTGTTTTTCTCTTTCTAATTTATCATTTATTTTAATTAAATCATTCTTATTCGAACTTAACAATATTAATTTTGATTCTTTCTTTTTCTTTGTAGCTGATACACGCATTTACCTGTTTTTTTTACTTCTGTTAGCTAGCTCAGAGCTGCTGGTGGGACGACGCTTTTCCAAACGTGCCACGCATTTTATTTCGCAAAGTGCAATTACACAACCGAATCTCGATCCCGATTCAATTTTTATAGGGTTTCTCAACACGCCGGAAACTGTTCATTTCCACACGAAGGAGCAGCCGTCTCGTTGGAAAAGCGTCGGCCGTCGCGACGTTGGCGTAATTGCACAAAGCTAATGCTCTTTACAGCTTTTCGTAATTTTTTTTCCTCGTGTTTTTTTTACATATATATATGTATATCTTCGGCAGTACATATCTTCGGATTTTTTTCGGCAACGAAGATAAATAAATATATGTACATACCTGTATATTTATTTATTTATATTTATATTTATACATATACATATATACGTACTTGTGTATCTAATTTTTTACAGCGCCAGATTTATATTTATTCGTTGTCTTTTCCTTTTCTTCCTTTTTTTTTTTTTTTTTTTTTATTTTACATATTTGCACTTTTTGTTTGCACTATTTTTTCACCGCCCGATTTATGTTTTTTGGTGGTTTTTTCCTTTTCTCCCCCTTTTTTTTTTTTTTTTTATTGCCAACATATCACACACACTCTATCTTGTTTTTTAACTAATTCTATTAATTGTTGAACGTGAACTGCGATTTATGTGTTTACTTTTACAGCTAGGAGGAGGTGCTTTTACATTATGTATACGATCGCATGCGAGTTTTTTGATATTTTTATATATATATATATATATACATATGTATGTATGTATGTATATATATATATATGCATTTACCCGCAATACACGTACGTATACAACAAGCGATGACACATGACACGTACACATAATAACACACGTACAAGCACGATGAACAATACACACGTGACAATATCGATAATATTTCATCATCCTTGTTTCCACGCCGTTATGTTCGATTTTATGTGTGTGCTTAAGCGGGCAGTACATGTAACTTTTTTTAATAATTTCTTCTCTCGTTTCTTCTCATTTTTTTATCTTTCTTTTTTTCCTTTTTCATTTATTTTCATCTTTCTTTCTTTCTTTCTTTCTTTCTTTTTTTTTTTTCTTTTTTCTCTCCGCATTAATTGACAAAAGTTGGGTAACGTATATACACTGTTATACAAAATCTACCTATATATATATAAAAAAAAAAAGAAAATATATATTTATTTCTACAAGTCGTGTGGATCGGAAACGGAACGACGAACGGCGAGGAACGCGAGGTTTGAAACTCTTCTGGTCCACGGAAGTCCTCCCACGGCGTCGAATCCTTTTTGGTCTCGCCCACGTTTGCAATTCGATTCCCCGTGTGTCCGTGGATCCGTGGATTCCGTGAGCGAGTATAGATCGTGGCGGACTAACCAGAGCACACACGAGCACACACACCAGCGATTACGCGTCCCATAAAGCTGTCCAAGTTTCCGAGTGAACGTGCCGGAAGCGTGGTGATCAGAGAGCACGGCCACGCATATCAATGTGTACTCTCTATACTCTTCCCTCTTTGTTATTCTTTCTTTCTATCTCTCTCTCTTTCTCTCTCTCTTTCACTCTTTCTCTCTCTCTTTCTCTTTCTCTTTCTCGTTACGTGTATCTCTGCGTCTCTCTCTTTCTCTATTTCCCTCTCGCGTTCTCTGTTCAGTGAATCATGCGTGTTCCCGTCTCGTAAGCCGATGTTGTCGTTCCATTCTCTGACTCTATCTCTCTCTCTCTCTCTCTCTCTCTCTCTCTCTGTCTGCGATTCGGTGAAACAACGAATTCGATTTTTTTTTTTTTGTTTTTTTTGTTTGATAAAATCTCGACAACCGATTATCGGATATATGCGTGTTTCCGAAATGACGACGGTAGCTGATTCACGGAGGGGGAAAAAAAAAGGGAGGCTCGAATTTGTGTATGTATATATACGCGTTGGAGGAAAAGGAATCAATGGAAGATTTGAAAAATATTGCTCGCTTCAAGTTGGTTGCGTATGAAGATATACGTCTCTGATATTCACGTTAAAGCCGCGTTTCCATTGGAACAATTTTTTCGTCGATCGATTTCGAATTATTATCCGATTGTACGTGTTTTATTGTCCAATATAAACATTTTTACAAGGCTTAGGCTAAGGAAAAATCGTCAATTCGTTTTATAAACGCTGCTCGAAATTCCAATAAAACAAGTGATTCAAGATGGATCAAATTTGCCTACTGTAAATACAGCTTTAGATGTATAACTTTGTGAACGACTTTGTGGTCCATCAAGTAGATTGCTCGGCCAATGTAAACGCAGCTTTAGCAAAGAAAAAGGGATCGTTCATCGTGTCTGCTCTCTTTCACCGTCTTTATTATCGTTCTCTGTCTGTTCTCTGTCGTTCTTCTCTTCTTTCTCGTACGAATATTTGCATATTTCTTTGCATCTCTCTCTCTCTCTCTTTCTCTCTATATATATATATTCATATATCTATATATATTCGTATATGTGTACATATATATATCTGTATTCGTATCTTTGTGTATCCATACATAATATATATAATTTTATTAATTTATACGTAAATTTATATATATATATATATTTTACGTACATATACATATATGTTTGGTATCTATGGTATAAGATTCGTGTATCGCCTGTGTACGTGTATGTATGTATGCGTGTGCGTATGTGCGTGCGTGTGTGTGTGTGTGTGTGTGTGTGTGTGCACGC